CAGGGCAACCCCCCCCGCCCCGGCGATGGTCGCCCTGCGCGTGGACCCCGGGGACCGCCCGGCCCGGCCCGGCTCGCTGGAGGGGTCGACGGGGCCGTGCGCTCCTTTCAGGGTGTGACTCCGGGGTCTCCGCCCGGTCCCCGCGGAGGGCGGGTGCGGACGTCCGAGTCACGTCTTCCCGCTGTGCTCCTGCAGGCTTGCTTCGCCTCCCTGGTGAGCCAGGACTACGTCAACGGCACGGATCAGGAGGAAATTCGGACGGGTAAGGGTTTCCTCTCTGTAGGCAGCGTTCTTGCCTTCAGCAAGATTCCTCATTGCTGAGGGTTGTGTTTATTTCATTGATCATTATTATTATTACTTTTAAATTTGCTACAGGACACGCATGCTCATGAGCAAGAGACAGAAAGTAGCGAGTCCAGGACTCAGGACTCAGGCTCTGTGGGCCCTGTGGGAGCCCACCCTGACCATGCCACCTGCTGGCCCTGATTTCACATGTTGGTCAGTCCCGCTGCCTCCTGAGAGAACCCTGCGGGAGTGGGTCTGTCTGGATAGCCCCTGTGACCTGCCAGTCTTTGCTCCCTTGTCCCCCAGGTGTCCTTCACAATCGCTTTCATACTGGCTTTAGGGGAAGGAGGTAGACCCGTGTGTGGGAGGGATATAAACACGTTTTCCGTGTCAGACTGCCCCCTCGTCAGTGCCCAGAGGTGACCTCTGCCCCTGCTGTCCTGCGACCAGTCGTACACTTGCAGGGGATGGGATGGGAGGAGGCACCCAGGGCATGGTGCGGTCCCCGCTCCACACCCTCACAGGATCTGGGGCGTGCACACCTACCGTGTCTGGGGCTTGAACCACGCCCTTGGCCTTGTAGGATCCAGCACCTTAGCACCGCGCCAGCTGCTGGCCCTGTACTGTATTTTAAATTCATGGCAACTGGACATTATGGTGCAGACCGCTGGCTCTCGGCTGTCTTTAGAAGTCCTACGTCTGTGTGTTGTGGAGGTCGCGTTTCATCTGGTAGTAGGAATGGTCTGTCCTTTACGTTAGCACACTGCTGCAGCCAGGAGTAGAACTGCAGACTGCATTTATATCCTGACTGATGCTCATTTATGAGGGCAGTAAGTGTGTCTGGTGTTCTTCTTAATATTTTTTCCTTGTCTTTAAGGTGTTGATCAGTGTATCCAGAAGTTTCTGGATATCGCAAGACAGACAGAATGTTTTTTCTTACAAAAAAGGTTGCAGCTGTCTGTGCAGAAACCGGAGCAAGTTATCAAGGAGGTACGAGCTCATTTTCCGCCCCACACCTGGAAGAGCAGGTGCCTGCTCTCGGGGTCACAGGAGGGCGGTGAAGATACAGTGGGGTGCTGCTCCTGGTTCGGGCTCATGAAGCCTGAGGAGTGCAACCGAGGCGGAGTGTCGGGCGGCCGCTCCACAGCGTGGTTTGAATAGCTCTCCATTTTCCATTCTCCTCTCGGGATCTTGGGCACGTACATGCACGTGCCTGGCATGAGTTTAAGCCACCGGGTCTAGGACTTGAACCACAGTCGACTACATGGGAGTCCAGTGACATAGCCATTACACCAACTGCTGGTCTCTAATTTTATTTCTTATTATTAGCATTAAATTTGTTATAGGGCATGCACACTCACCAGAGAGAGAGAAAGCGAGAAAGCAAGCTGCCAGGTCTGGGACTCAGACTGCAGCCAGCCATGTGGAGTCCAGCGCCTTAACCCCCATGCCGCCTGCCGGCCCCAAGAGAGTGATGTTCTTGCCATGTGTCCTGTCAGGTCGTTTCCTGATTGAATACTTGAGTAACTGTGTGGTCACGGCCAGATTTCATGAAGAATGTCCTGGTAGTGTTCATAAAACGCTTTGTCCCCCCTTAAGAGATTTTTGTTATGGCTCGCAGGCACTCGCCAGAAAGACAGAAAGCAAGAAACCACCCCCAGGGGGCATGGCCATGCCCAATCCCTCCTCTGTTCTCCTCTTGAGATTTTGGGCATGCATGCATATGTGCTTGGCACGAGTTTTAAGTCACCGGGTCTGGAACCACAGTCCACGTGGGAGTCCAGGGACGTGACCGGACCCTGGGAAATGCTCCTTCGAGCAGTCTGGCAGCTCTCCACCTGCCGTGCCCCGGCCGCAGTGTGGCTGTGCCCGCCGTCCCCCGGGCTCAGGGTTACACTGTCAGCAGCAGCCTGGTGACGGAGAGGGTGGGATGAGCCGCCGCCTCCGGCTGCCCTTTGCGCTGTCAGCTGTAACAGCCTCCGTGGGTCGTCAGAGGGTGGCCCAGCAGTGCGGGGCGCGTCCCTCCCACCCCTCCTGACCGCACCCTCTCCCCGCAGGACGTGTCGGAGCTGAGGAACGAGCTGCAGCGCAAGGACACGCTGGTGCAGAAGCAGCTGGCCAAGCTGCGGCACTGGCAGCAGGTGCTGGAGGACCTGAGCGCGCAGCACCGGCAGCCGGCCGAAGGCCCGCAGGGCTCGCTGGCCTACCTGGAGCAGGCGTCCGCCAACATCCCCGCGCCGCTGAAGCAGAGCTGAGCGGCGCAGAGCCCGGCCTGGCATGCGTGCAGGTGTGTGTGCAGGTGTGTGCGTGTGCATGCGTGGTGGCCACCGGACTGCTTGGTCCCGCTGTGCGGCGCCGCCTTGGACGGACTCTAGAGAATGCGGCAGTTCCCACTTTAAAACTTCCCCCTATTTTCAGAAGCTAATTTTTGAGCATTTTATAAAATACCTACAGCTTTAGAAAAACAAGTAAATGTTTACCTCTTTAGCGAAGATGGTGTGGTGGCATTGCAGTTCTTTCGTGGGCTCTTTTTGGTACAAATTTTCACTTCTTCGGTCCCCACTGGATTAGTGTGTGTGCTCTGAGGGGGAAGGTGACGACGCCTGAGAGTCGATGAGGCTTTGGTGGTGGGTACCCCTCGGGTGGCTAGAGCCCAGGCACGTGCATGTGTGCAGGCTCTGGGAGCTCAGGGCAGAGCAGAAGGTGAGTGCCCATGCTCCCAGCAGGTCAGGTGTGGCTTAGAGCAGCGCCACTGAGGCTTCCTCGGTCCACCACCCGGGCAGCGCTGGCCTTGGTGCTGTGTCTCCCTGGGCTCTGGGGCAAAGCCGGCTGAGTCGGGAGCCGCCTCGGGATGGGTGGGTGGAGCAGAGCCTGGGGTGAGCTCGCCCTCCTGGTTTTGGGTTGGGCTGGCATGGGTTTTGCTTTTCTCTTGGAGCAAAGACTCTTTGTTTGATGGTTTCCTTTAAGAAAGGCTCTTGCTCTGGGACCAGCAGTAGGTATAATGGCTATGTCACTGGACTCCCATGTAGCTGACTGTGGTTCAAGTCCTGGACCTGGTGGCTTAAACTCATGCCAGGCACGTGTGCGTATGTTCCCAAGATCCCAAGAGGAGATAGAGAAGGGATTATAGCATGGCCATCCCCGCTGGGGGGTGATGACTCACTTTCTGTCTCTGTCTCTGTCTTTCTAGTGAGCGCACGTGCCCTATAGCAAAAACCTCTCAAAATAAGTTTCAGCACACAAGGTGCAGTTTTTTTAAAGCACAAAATAAAATAAAATCTCAAACTTTTCACCGCCGTGGTGTGTATGTTGTGTCCCCATCCACATGGCAGAGCCTCATGTGATAGAGTGATGGGGTCCTCTGCCCTTGTGATGGGACTACCACCCTTACGGAAGAGGCTCCTGCAGACTCTGCCCTGCCGTGGGAGGGTGTAGGTGGCACCGCCTACGGGAGTCACGCCTCACCCCATCACAGGATGGAGGGGAGCGGCTCTCAGGGCAGGTCTAGGGAGAATCCAGCTGGGTCACTGCCAGGAGGAACAGCCCCCGGTCCCATGACGGCCGGGCCTGACCTTGGACTTCCCAGCCTCCAGAATGAGCAGGAAGTTTGTGTATAAATTACCCAGTCCGAGAGCCTGTGCTACTGCAGCCCAAATGGACTGTCACCCTAAACAAGAGAGACAAGAAATCCTTGGAATTTTAAAATAACGTGGCAGACCAGCTCCCTGGCCTGGTGGTTAGGGATCTACAGTAGATTCCACATGGGCAACCACACCGGTTTTGAGTCCTGACTCCAGCAGTTTGAAGAACAGGTCAAGTGCGTGTGTGTGCGCATGCATGCCCAGCATTTGAACAGGGTGAAGAGACGGAGACCGGGCTGTGGCCTGCCTGTCCATTGGAGGGTGCTCCCTCCTCTCTGTCCCTTCTTATGCTCTGAATGCATGATCCCTCTGGCATAACTGAAAATAATAACATGGCATGTTGCATTTACGGTGACAACTATTTACATTAAAATTTTTTATTGGGACTTTGTTTTGGTTAGGTAGCAAGTTTATATTTAATTTCTGGATTTGAATTTTCATTACAGTTCTCTCCAAATAACATTTAAGTAGGTAATCAGCCATATATTCCTGGGTTTGTTTTCTTTTTGCCATGGGATGCGTGTACTTGCCAGAGACAGATAGAGGGAAACAGTAATCACCGCCCAGGGTGGGGAGCCACTCTGCGGTCTCCATTCTCCTGGGATCTTGGGCACGCATGTGCACATACCTGCTGTGATTTTCAAGCTGCTCGGTCCAGGACTTGAACTGCGGTTGGCCACATGAGAGTTCAGCACCTTAACCATGCCACGTGCTGACCCCATAATCTACTTTTTACTTGAGGATGACCTGTTAGAGGTTAATGTGAGCTTCTATTTCTAAGCTGTGTCTTCATCTAATTTTGCCTTTCTGTAGGAAAGCAATGCAATCACAGCCGCTTTTATTGCCCAGTGGGTTAACGTTTTAGTCAGCCAAGAGTTGACAGTGCACAGAATTGATGTCGGGGGGCCACGCCTTGGCCAGCACCAAAGGACTGATAACGTGTTGCCCACTGCGAGGTCAGAGCCTCGTCAAGCCGCCACTCTGTCAGAGGGTCAGACAGCTCAGTGTGCGCTGGGCAGGTGCCCTGAACCCACCGGGCATCCATGCAACGGGGAAGCAATGTACCATGAGGCCGAGGGCTCGAACACAGACCAGAGGCTCAGGAGATCTTTGACGTCAAAACACACATCCAGGAACTTCCCGGACGGTCAGGTGTGTCCGGCGCTGCAGTCACTGAACTGGGATGAGAGGGAGGGCTGAGCTTGGCCAGTGGCAGAAAAGCCCTGCGGGGCCCAGTCCAGCTCACGAGGGCAGCCACCCAAGTCCTCTCTGGGTGCAAGCGAAGCCCCTGCTGAGGTAGGTGTTACTCTGCAGTCTGCAGCTCGTCCCGGCCGCGGCGGCACGCGTGGAGTGTGGCAGCTCGGTTGCAGCACCTGGCCAGCATGCTGCAGCCCGGGCCTGCGAGGCTCGGTGCTTTTCAGATCTGCTGTCCTCTAGTCTGAATTTCGCTTTCGACGTCTTCCTGTTGAGGTCATTGTGCGTTTCGGAATTAGGGCACTTTACATGGAAACATGTCAGTGGAGGTGGCGCGCATCGCAGGAGAAACAGAAGTAGACCGTGGAAGTAGACCGTGGCCACTGCGAGCGCGGCACCCACGGCGCAGGTGGACGTGGGCACCACGAATCCCGTGAGCGGGTCACCAGTGACGGCAGCGGCTCTGGGACGGCATTGCTCGGTGCCCAGTTGCCACAACAGCACGTGACAGGCGAGCGCCGACGCGCTGAGGCTCCTCTCTGCGTGGGGACGACAAGCACGTCGCCGGCCCCCGGTCGTATTACAGGTCCTTCTCCACTGGGCGTTTCCACAGGGGTGGCTCTCCAGCGCCCTCCTGGTGTGCCCCAGATCAGCTCAGAAGGAGAAGTACTTGGTGAACCACTCCTGGTGCGGGGAGCCCTGTTTCTGCTGGGCTTCTTTGGGCTGCGCAGTGTCGCCATCTTGGGTCCTAAAAACAGACAAAGTTTCTTGCATGGTTTTGAAAATAATTCATGGAACTGCGCAGTACCCCACCGCCTTTTCATGGCGGAAGACACCGGACCCTGCCAGGCCAGCGTCAGTAGGGGCGGGGCTGGGAGGGAGTGGAAAAACCTGCTGTGAGGGGAGCTTTCTCGGTTGTCTGGTTCCTGGCTTCATGTCAGTCTGGGGCTGTGTCTGAGGTCATTGTACGTGAGCCAGAGCTACGGATGAAGAGGCTGCAAACCTGCGGATCCGTGAACGTCACACGGCAGCAGCGGACACGTCAGGCCAGGCCCTGTGCTCGCCACGCCCCGCAGGCTAGTCCCTCTGGTTCACATCAGCCGGTGGGGTGCTGCATCATCTCCATTTCAGGGGGGATGTGGAGACCCAGAGAGGCCACACAGCTGTGACCATGGAGGACCAGAACTGGAAACTGGACTAGGCCAGGTGAAGAGTCCCGCTTTGATGTAACCCACACTGGCAGCCCCAGCTAAGTGCCCGGTGGTCTCTCTGAGCACCCAGGGAGTCAGGCCTGAGGCTGTCAGGAACAGTGCCTCTTCTAAAGGACCAGTCCTTGCCCTCCACGGTCTTCCCTTTGGGCGGGACTGTCCTTTCTCCAGGGCGGCTGTTCTACTCTGCCCAGGGCTGGGTGGTGAGCGGGCGCCAGGAGGGGACCCGCAGCTTCTGCCAACATACCTGGTGGCGGTTTTTGCCTCTGGCGGCTGGGTGGGTTTGTAAGGCCGGCCACAGCTGGGGCTGGGATCCAGGCTGGGAGACTTGGTGATTGGAGGGGCGTTGATCCTGGAGCTCAGATCCCCGCTCAGAAAGTTCTTAGCGTAGGAGGCGAGGTTGGGCACACTCACCACACGGCTGGGCGCCTCCTCCATCTTCTTTTTCTGTGTGTGGCGGGGAAGGGCTGTCAGCACCACCCAAAGACGTTTTAGAGGGGCTGGCGGGTGGTACAGTGGGTAAGGCGCTGGACCCCCACGCGGCCGACTGGCTGAGTCCTAGCAGCTTGAGACTCACAGCAGGCATGCGTATGTGTGTGCCTAAAATCCCAGGAGGAGAATGGAGAAGGCATTGCAGCGTGGCCATCCCCCCGGGGGTGATTTCTCAATCCCCTCTCTGTCTCTGTCTTTCTGGTGAGCACACACCCACCTGTGACACAAACCTTAAAAATTTAGAAGTAAATAAGGCCCATCCCAGCCAACATTATATGGGAACAGAGGCAACAATTTTATGTATATGCTTACATGTTTTTAATTTTATTTGTTACTATTATGTATTTTTTAATCTGACCAGAGAGACACACAGAGAGAAAAGGGAAGGTGAGAATGCGAGCTGCCAGATCCGAGACTCGGCCTGCAGTCGGCCATGTGGGAGTCCGGCACCTTGCCCACGGTGCCACCTACTGCCCCTACATGGTGCTTTTTAAAACACTTCCTCTTCAGTCTGCATTCTGCATTTTAAAAAATACATAGATGCACCACATCCCAAGCCGGGGACAGAGGTGTTTCATACATCAGGCTATTTCACATTTTAGAAGGCCACACAGCTCTTCCAGCAGGACCTGGGCCCACTCTGTCCTCAAACGCGTTCATATTTCTGGAGTGAAACTTGGGACTTCAAAGTGTGGGAAAGTGAAATTAAAGTACAAGTTTATTTTGGTGTGAAAGAATTTTGAAATGCATGCTCCCCATCATCTCCGTTTTGGTTAATTGTTGGAAGTTCCCGTGTGCACTGTCACACACAGAGACACGCGTGAAGTCTGTACGAGGTCATAGCAGTGCAGGCCTGTCGTCCTGTGAGCTATGCAAAGGGCACAAGTTTGGAAACGTTTTCAGCGCTCCCTAACAGCAGGGAAGAGGCCTGTAAGTGAACGCTCACTGTACGGGTTCTAAAGATCCGAACAGGAAGTGGGCGGTCCCTACTCCGTCCCCGTCCTTACCACCCAGACGGAACGGTGGTGGTGGCACACACTGTACAAGAGCCCGTGCTGCGTAAGCGCCATCCACGGGCGCCCAGTGGACGCAAACGCCGTGAGGAGGTCGGGCACGCCCTGCAGCTGTGGCAGCCCGCCAGTCCCGTTCCCTTCATGGAGGGGGTCAGGCACCCCGGGTGAGGGTGGAAGGAGAAGGACCGATTCCTGTGGGACACAGCGCTGGGGAACGCGGCGCAGTGGAGCCTTCGCTCTTCCTGGAGAAGGAATTCAAGTGAGTTTGAGTGAGCTTCGTGCTGTGCAGGCGGAAGATGGCAAGAAAGTCGGGGGACGGGAGTCGGGGCTCGGCGCTGCTGGCCAGAGGCTGGGAGGAGCCGCTTTCCCTTACAGTAACAGAAAGGCCGAGTCCACTCCGGACCGGAACCCAGTCCTTCCCGCTGAAGGGCAGAGCCGCAACAGATGCTCACTACAAGACGAAGCTCGTAGTGACATTCGTTGTCCTGGCTGCAGGGTGCATGTACTCATGAGAGGGAGTGAACGGTCACCCGCAAGGTCGGCCCTTCTCACTCTCCTCCGGGTTTGGGGCGTGCACACACACGCCGAGTGTTTTTCAAGTCGTTGGGTCCGAAACTAGAATCCAGCACTCAGCCATGTGGGACCCAGCCACCCTTACACCGGCCACCAGCTGGCCTATGAAAGTTAATTTTTAAAAAACGAAAGTTAAGGGACTAGCTCATGGCATGGTGGTTAAGGCCCTGGACTTCCCAATTGCCTCCCGTGGTTCGAGTCCTGGACCCAGTGACTTGAAAATCGTGCTGGGAGCATGTGTGTGCGTGCTCAAAATCCTAGGAGCAGAATGGAGAAGGGGTGGTGGGTGGCTGTCCCCGGGGTGGGTTCTCATTTTCCCTCGCTGTCTCTCCAGTGAGGGCATGCACCCTATGGCAAAAACCTAAAAAAGGAAGAAAGAAAGAAAGAAAATTGATAGAAGGACCCAGAAAGCAACTCCCCAGGTAGAGAAGACTCCACCCTCTCTTCTCACTACCTTTCTTGTGTTTAGTCCGCACCCCGGACGTTTCCCCACACACAGAGGCGGAGGGCGTGAGGCCTATCCCCACCGCCGCCAGGGCAACCCACGGCTAATCTTATCCGGTCACCCTGCTGAGTGCTGTCCTGTGTTGTTCTCAGAGCAGACTCCAGTCATAATACCTACCTGTGAAGACGCCGATGCTCCCAGGAGGAGCTTCCGTCACACCAGTGAGCAGCGCTTCCTAATGCCAGCTAAGTTTCCCTTTTAAAGGGTTACTTAATGTTATCTGTTACCAGTATTTTTTTTTTTTGAGGGACAGATATTTTGCCAGAGGATGTGTGCTCTTGCCAGAGAGAGAGAGAGAGACAGAGAGACAGAGAGACAGACAGAAAGTGAGAAATCACCCTCAGAGGGGATGGCCATGCCACAATCCCTTCTCCTCCATTCTTCTCCTGGGCTCTTGGGCACAGAGCGCATGTACCCAGTGTGAGTTTCAAGCTTCTGGGTCTGGGACTCAAACTGCAGTCGGCCATGTGGGAGTCCAGCGATAAAACCACTACATCGTCGGCTATTGTTATTATTTTTAATGTGATCAGAGAGAGAGGAGGAAAGCGAGAAAGCAAGCCACCAGGTCTGGAACTCAAACCATGGTGGGCCATGTGGGAGCCCAGCTCCTCAGCCATGCCACCTGCTGGCCCCACCAGCTAAGTTTTCAGTCACCCGTCAAAGTAGGAAGTGGGTGGGCAGGAGCAGCTGGAGGGGAGGGACACCCCAGAAGTGGCCATCAGGCCTTGGTGGCTGTCGCTTGCAGAATCAGAGTTGGAGATGACGTTAAGGGTCTAGAAAGCGGCTTCGCTCACTGGAGAGCAGGTGGTTCTCTGCACAAAGTAATGGACAGCAGTTTAGACCTCCATCGGGCTGGCTCCGGGGTGCAGGGGCGTGTGCTGCTCAGAAGCCGGATCCCATGTGCATCCTGGCCGGTCAGGCCTCTGTCCACGGGATCTGACGGGCTGAGGACTGGAGGAGGGAGCGTGGTGTGGCCAGCCCCTGCGGGTGCTCGCTCTCACGTACACACGAGATATATCGTGATTAAGAGGAAGAAGGGGGGAGGCCAGCTGGCGGCGTGGTGGTCAGGGTGGCTGGGTCCCACATGGCCGACTGCTTGGTTCAAGTCCCAGACCAGGCAGCTTGAGGAAAGCACTGGGCACCTACCTTACCTGTGTGTGTGCCCAAAATCCTGGGAGAAGTGGAGGAGGGCTGTGGCCTGACCGTCCTGTGTGGGGCTTTCTTACTTTCCTTCTTTCTGTCCCTAGCAAGTGCACCTTCAAATTAAAAAGTAAAAAAGTTATGTACCTTTGAAAAAATATGATTGATTCTAGTCAATGCCAAATAAGGCAAGTCATCCTAAATTTTCCCAAATTCTACAGGTTAGAGTTGAACCAGGGCCTGGTGGTTGAGGGACCGGGACCCACATGGCTGACTGCAGTTTGAGTTGTGGACCTGGTGGCTTCGAAAACATGCTGCTGCACACGCATGCACGCCTAGCACCCCGTAAAGGTGGAGAAATGGAGGAAGCAGCTGCGGTGTGGTCACACCCGCTGGGTACTTCCTCCCTGCCTCTGGTCAATGATGTGCCCTCGCGAGCCAAGGACGGTGACAGCAG